ATATTTTTTGTTTGGTTAAAGGATGTATTCTAAATATCTAGAATGGAGCCTGGCTGCTAGAGGGGACTTAGTCATGTTTGTTGAATGAAAGCATGAATAAATTTTCAAAAGCAATGCCCTTAGGACATTACCACTGAATAAGATGTGACTCCATTAAATGTTAATAAGCACCCGTGGCAGATGATCATGTTTCCTATAGGTGTTTTTAAACAATGTTCTTATCTAAAAGTTATCTTTAATGTAATACAAACAATTATAGTCCATAAGAAAACCTGGAATATATAACTCAATTTTTAAAACTAATTGTTTTTTAATTTGTGAAAATAAACAGAAATATCTGAGATAAGTAAACATAAACAGATGAAGCATATGAGGGGGAGTCATTTTTTTTCTAATAAATGCCAGAGCAGAATTCATATATGATTAGAAGTACTGAATTTAAGAAGATAGAAGTAATAAATAAAAGCAAAACAGAAACTTTAATAAACTGCAGTTTATTAGCAGCATGACAATAGAGGCTAATTGATAGTTATTCAATTCTTAGAACTGGGCTTAATCCATAGGCAGACATAATAGCATAGCACAAAAAACTCTTCTGCTCTAACTAATAAAACAATTACAATACAAACTAATCATATTTATTCCTAACATGAATACAGCATGATGAACTATTTTCATATTTTTTAGAACTCCCTGCAAACTAACTGCTCCAGGAGCACCACCAAAATTAAATCTAAGTTGCAAGAGATTGTGAAATACACAGATAATTGCATTGAAAAGTTTTTCAAAGTGTACTTTCATAACGTAAATAGTATTATTTTCATCATGTTTAAGTAGAAAAGTTTTTATAAAGCACATCTCACCATTTGGAAAGTGTGTTAAAATATTTAAAAAACAGAGGTATACATCCATTAACAAACTGATTTATGCTTTATTCATATATGACTGAGACAAAAAATGTGATGCCAGTTCAGTCCATTTTAAGTAGCCAAACTGAAACTCCTAATGATATTTAGATTAACAGTAATTAATAATTTAATACTTAATGAAATACCTGATAACTTCAGAAGCCTTAAAGAAAACATTGCAAGTTCAAGACTAATAAAGACTTCTTATTAAATGTAAGTGTAAATCACAGCTAATGCAAGGAAGAAACTGCTTTCCTTAAAACTTTAGGGCATTTGTGGCTCAGAGAAATGTTTAACTCTGGTGACCATTCTGAGTCACTTTCAGGCATTATCTGAAAAGAAAACATACTTAAGGCCAATCAACTTGTCATGTTTTCAAAAATGATCTTCTTCAAAACATAAAATGGAAGTTAAAAAAAAGCTGCCCATAAAGATGTCATATTAATGAAAATATTTGAATTTTCTCGCTGTCATAATACAAGATCTTTAGAATATTTTGACTATTCATCCTCAAACATCATAATCAAAATATTATTTGCAGTAGTTCAAGCTATAAAATATTTACAGACAGCATATATGCTATATTGGAACATCTGTTTAGACAGTTGATGTAATTAGATAAAAAACTTCCCTGCCTCTCAATGTAATCTTGTAATGGGCAGTATTGCTACTTGACTACATCTATTCATCTTCTATTCTGTTTTAATAACACAAGTGTCACCTAAGAAATTATTCTTTGATCTTTCAATAAACTAAGCCTCTGCAGAAAGAGGAAGGTGGAAGAGGTTAAATTGCCATTGATTATTTAAGACACATTTATCATTTATTTAACAATCTCCCTCATCACAAAAACTATTGTGTTTCTAGGCCTGTGCTGAGAGACTGTTAATTAATTTTTTTTAAGTCTTGCCATGTGCATTAGAAGTCAGAGCACATTGTAAACTAACATTAGTTTCATGTCTCCTGACAAATCCGGTGCAGGGTAGAAGTACTTTATTGTACAAATCTTTAAACTGATTCAAGGCAGTGAATTTTTAATAGATTTTATGATAATTAATGTTTTCTGTGGATTCTGTTTCTTATCTTAAGTAAAATGTGTACCAACAGTTCTTTTCCCAAGGAAATTATATTAATGATGACATACAGTATCATATATTCTGATACTCATACCAATAAAACATGATCCACAATGATCTGTAAAAAACAATTTGTGCTAATGTTGGTAGCTTTAAGAAGAAAACGAGTATAAGAAACATACATAATGTACAAGATTTCTATGAGATGCTTACAATAAACACAATTTGAAAATTATAAATAGATATATGTGTGTAAATAATATTTTTGAAAATTAAAATAAGGTGAAACTATATTTCCTTATGGGTAAAAAGAAAAAAAATACTATAAATTGAAGAATAATGATTTTTATTGCATATAAAATGTTAAAAATATTTATAAATAAATATTGAAAAATACAGAAAATATATCCTGGTCAGGGAAGAAATTGTACTACTTATGAATCATATATTTCCAGTTATGTAATTCATCATACTTAAAGCATTTGCTTATTTTTGATTTGTTTGTTTAAGTATTTCCATCCCCAGTTTTTCACATGCAAACTGCCATAAAGTTTAGTACTACAGCTATATCTAGTTGCTTTCATAAGTTATTATATGCATATTTTAGAAATTTCATTTGCTCATACAAAGCAGATTCTTTAAGGACTCACTGTCAAAAAAGTATTATTCTATAATCTTAATTAAATAGAGTAAAATACATTAAACTATCACTATAACATATGAAACAAGCTAGAAACAATTAAGATTTAATGAGGATTAACCATTAACATGCCTTCATTTTAAATTTTTATTTACATGTTTAGAGGAACTAAATGGCATTGATGTAAGAAATATTGTAGAAATAAGAAAATTATGAGGCATGGATAGGCAAATATATAATAGGCTGCTGGTAACTACTGTGTTAGAATAACTGTACACATATTAGTCATTTCCCCAGAGGTGTCATTCATTGCTCAGTAGCGCATTCTCACAAGTAGTCACTAACAGTGTCACATAAAATTGATGGTGTTATATGAAAGTCTTACATTTTATATTTATATTGTCATTTTAAAAGTTCAAATTGAATCTCACATTGTTTCTTTAAATTGAATAAAATTGAACATTTGAATCCAAATGCATATTTGTTTTCCCTTTCCTGAACATACTACTTTAAATAAAAGACTAGACTCCTCGCAAAGGCCATGTGTAGTAAAAAAGGGACTTCATTTTTCTGAAATTCAGTTGACTTATTTAAAAATTTGGGACTTTAAAGTCAGTGGATTCTAATTCAACTTGTAGTCCCTGTGTTTTATGATGTTTTATTGGAAAAATGTTTAATGAAAATTACGGTTTTATTACTCATATTGAACAAACTCTCTGGCTTACAGATTTATATATACAAAGATTATTTATAAAATACATATTAGATTTATATCCTAAGTACTAGCATATAAATATTTTGTATTAAAAAAAATTAGGCAGGGGGCTGTGGCTCATGCCTGTAATCCCAGAACTTTGGGAGGTCAAGGTGCACAGATCATTAGAGGTTAGGAGTCCAAGACTAGCCTTACCAACATGGTGAAACCCAGTCTCTACTAAAAATATATACACTAGCTAGCTGGCCATAGTGACGGGTGCTTGTCATCCCAGCTACTTGGGATTCTGAGGCAGGAGAATTGCTTGAACCCAGGAGGCAGTGGTTACAGTGAAGCAAGATCGTACCACTGCACTCCAGCCTGGGCAACAGTGAGACTCCATCTCAAATAACAACAACAACAACAAATTTTTAGACAGGAAAAAATCCCCTAAAAAAGACAAATATTGACTCACTTGTGGTAAATCCTCTTTAAGTACCATAAAAAATATTTCTTTTTAAAAATAGATATCAACGTAAGTTAAATAATGTACAACACTGCTAGAAGCATTTAAGTCACAAAATTGAGATCTAGAATTTAGATATATAGAATAAACATATCTTTAAAATAAATGTAGTAGAATAATTTTTAATTCACAGTTTTTAGTGCTCTTTTCAATTAAAAAAATAAGGTATATAAACATTTGAAATCAATTTGTGCAGTAATGAAAGCTTTGGCTTATTTCCTACAAGAGAACAGTAGTTTTATATCAATGTACTAATGTAGTTTGCAAGGCAACACAAAAGTAGCATCCACATCTGTTATGTAACATAAAAACACGTAGATAAACATAATTTATCATTATCCATTATCATAAAACTTAAAATAATCTCGATTTTATTTTTAGTTATCAGCAAAGTGCTAAGAATAATAATAAATGTTTTTAAATAGAAGAGGGGGTCCTCATATATGTTAGCTAAAATATGAAATTAGGTCCTTTATTTTTTCATCAAGGGGAACCTTAAGTCATGAACTTAGGCAAAATGCAAATTTCTTGTCTATGTTTAAGAAAAAGATGGGTATTTATATCAATGTTTTTTCAAATCATCCTTGTCACTAGATGCAATATTGTATTAAAACATGTTTTACGATCCTATTTTGACAGTTCAACAGTATTACTCTAACAGAAAAATACTAACTTTCAATAAAATTACTTTCTGCTGAAGTCCAAGAGCTAAAACATTATTTTAATTTTTCTTTAAAGTTGTTTTTGCTTTTAAGTGTCTGCATATAAAAATGATGTGCTTCAACTTTGGTAATTACAAACCTAGTAACTTTATTAAATTATTAATAAATTAATTAATACTTTCTTAAAAACCTAAAATCCAATAAAAAATTAAAAAAAAAAATAACTTGCCCTAATTTTCTAATTCACTAATTCATAAAACTACACCAAAACTGTTGCTTTTAAAAAAATAAGACGACATTGGTATGCTAGTTGGTGCCTGTAATTATCTTTTTTGGTTCCAGAAGGTATTTAGAATTGTTTAAAAGCAAAAGATGAATGGTGCACTGCTAAATCCGATTACATCAATGCATGGACACAGCAGCTGCAGAGGTAAATAAGCTGTGGAGGTGAATACCAATTATGAAGATAAAAATGGTTTTACAAAGCTACTTACATCATAGCCTAGTAGTTCAGTCTGTGTGGATTTATCTACTCTTGAAGCAAAAGCCTTCTGTAAATGCCGAACCTTTCCCTGCAAAATGAAAAAAAAAAAAAAAATTAGAAACAAAAAAACCACATTGTTGGTGAGGTGTATACTTCTATACCAATATTTTCCACTTAGTGTATAATTCATGTTCTTTTCTGTGTATACATTTTGTTCTGTTAGTGCTCTTAAAATAAGCTTAAATATTTAGAGCCTTAACTTTCAGGTCACAACTGTCCCACCATAGGCTCAGTAGAAGAAAACTCTACTACAGGCGTCACTGAGTCAGAACCACAGTTTAACATCACAGTCACAATGTGCTTAAATCCAAGACCAAATTCTTATGCTTTGTTTCCTGTTATCTTTTTTTAATAACTTAATTGCTATTAGTTTGCTGATCCACTTTCAGAGCATTTATATTTGAAATAAAATTATTTTCAATAAATGACTCAATGGATTCCATTTAGTTTATTTTAATTTTGTTATGCTTCTTTCCAAAAACCTCTACACATTTAGGAATGCCTACTTTAAGGAACTCACACTAATCAACCCCATAATAACCAGGGAAGGGAAGTAATACATGAAGGGGATTGGGATTTCATATTTCAAATGTGAAAGTATAGTTTCTGAGTAAAATAATTTGACTGTGCTTCTTGCTGGGACCTTCCCTTCTCATTCCTAAATATGTCACTTAAAATGAGATCTTGAGTTTAATTATTATGTAATGATTTACTAAGTGCCTCGCACAGATTAGAGTGTTTACTCACATGGTCACATTTTATCTTCAAATATTTAATATAAATGCCATTCATGTTGAATAAAAACAATACAGTTTAGGAAGTTTAAGTAACTTGAGATACTTTTCAAATAAATTCATGTGATTTTACTAGATTGTGTTTTCCACTTGTTTTAAAGCAAAATCTATATCATTTTCTTTTCTTTTCAGTGTTTAATAAAATAAAGAACTGTGATTTAATTCCTCCTTTTCCAGGATTGACAATGGTTATCCAGAACCCCATAAGAATTCCAGTTACGCAAACTCCTCCATCCTCAGTGCCCTTCCTTTCCTGTTCCTTCCCCTTCCCTCTTCTCCTTTTCCCCTTCCTCCTTACTCCTTCATTGCTGGTTGATATTTGCAAGATTATCTGAGATGTTTAAAGAAGTATGTATATAATTTATGTAAATATAATTTAGTTTAACTTACTGAAATACAGAAAATAAATATTTTGTTCCATTAATGTCTCATCACTTCTGCTTCCCTAATCACAAAACTTCTAGTGCTGCTAGCCAGAGAAATATTAAATGTAGATTAGATCATGTAGGAAGATGTTACGTGAGTAAGGTAAAAGGTTTTAATTATTTGAAAAAGATAAGTAAAAATGTGGCTGCATTTTCTAAACTAAATTTCAAATGAGAAAAAAAACAAATTGTATTTGTTTAGATATAGTGATTGGGCTGAAGAAGACAGGGAGAGGTAGTAATAGGTAAAGGAGCAATAACACTGTCCATCATTGAAAGTTTGTTTCGGAAAGTTTGATTAGCTACTTTTGAGATAGATTGGAATCGTAAGTATGTGAAAAGTAAATTTTGTGGTAAATCTCTAATTATATAAACTTTTATGTATAGAGTCTATGCACTAATGTAGAGAGCAGGGAAAAACAGCTACAAAATGCTTCCATTATGCCACAGCTCATTTATATTTCAAGGCTTTCATCCTATTGATAGAAGTTGGAAAATGTTGGTAACTTCTGGATTACTGGTCTGAGTTATAAGACTTAGGAAATTCAAATGACAATAAATAAAATTCCAAACAACTTTATTAACCAATAGTATAATCAAAACAAGAATAAACAAACAAACAAAACTTTAAATAGAGAACAGTTATATTAGGAAATTTTAAAAAATACAAACATTTCTGGTGAACGTCATTGTCACTCCCTCTTATAAGCATTAGTCACAGCAAATGGCGTATTTTAATTATTTATTATGGTATTATATATGCACATGTGTGTCATATTCAAATGTAAAGAATAAAATCTAAGTTTCCTATAGACTCAGGTACAAATAATTAAAAAATAAATATTATATTTAGTGTAATAGAAGGCAGCAAACATCAAAGTTTATGACAAATGTCTGTCACATACAGTTAGAGGATTAAAGAAAGACTACATAGCTTTCAGAAGATAATTCTTGATAGAGATCTTGCATTTCTAAATGGTAAGATGGAAACTTATCGATTGATAAATTGAATATGCAATAAAAGGAGTTTTATAGACAGCCAAACAGAAAATGTACCACAAAAGTAGCTATTACTAGAGGGCAGAATTGCAGATAATTTTGATTTCTCATGTAATAAATCTACATATATTAATTTCATAAATATATATATTTATTAGAAATATACGAAAAAAGTACATTTTCAATTTCACATTTATTTAATATCATGATTAAAGTCTTGATTAAAATTATTATCAGTTTATTTCAATTTAGGAAAATTTCACCTTCATGATAGAATTTTATTTGTATTTAATTTTTTATTAAATACATATTATGGCTATTGCTTAGAGGGCAGGGGACACGAAGGGAAAAAAAGAAAATATATCCCCTTCTATGAAGAAACTTCCAGTGTGAAAGTTAGAAAAATAAGAGGTTATTAGCATTCTACAGGAAAAATACAATCACCACAGAGAGCACCAGAGATGTACGTATATGGAAAGGGTATGTTGGAGAGGGGACCTGCAAAGGAGTTAAATAATTTGGAATGCAGAAGCTACTGACATCCCAGCTAAGACCAGAAAAATGAATTATTATTAGCCAATTTGAAATGGAACTGAGTGATACAGAACCTAGGAAGGCAATAGAATTTGCAAATATTTAGAAGTCAGAGAGACCATGACAAAGATATGTATAAACAGTTACTACTCCAAAATTGCCTAAGGGGAGTCACTTAAAGGGACAATGTGAAGAATGAGGGTAAAGTGGTAAGTTTATGCTGGAAAGGATAGAATGCTACGCCAAAAGATTTGAGAGTCAGCTCAGTTTTCAAAATATGACTTTATAATTAAAGGTCATAAAATATTTTAACTAAATTATGATGGAACTGATTTATATACATCCTTCACTTTATATTTTACATAAAAAAGGACATATATATATATATATATATATATATATATATATGTATACATACAGAGAAAGCAATATGAAGAAGAAAAAGCGTGGAAGTGTGCTGAGCTTTGACCACCTGTGAATATACTCTGTGTAATTTAAAATGGCTCTCTTTCAGTGTTCTCCCAATATAAGCAGACACTGTAATTTCTTCTTCTAAACTCTCAGAGAGATAGCGAAGAATTAAAATAATTCAATTTGTGGTATATAAATTTTATAACTAAATCTAACCCTTTGATGAAATATCTAATTGTCTTTAAGCTTCTTTTCCATGCAATGACAAAACATACCCCTAATTTTTTCACATTTACAATTGATAAAACATGTGCTTAGACAAAGCAAAAAATGAAGGCTAGCATATTATGTAAAAAAGTAAAACTAAAATGGGTTGAAAAAGACAAATTTTGAGATTTACATTTATTGCTAAATTTCCATATAATCTGAGTCCTGAATATGTGGAGGTTTTGAGTTAAATTATATTGCTATATGAATGAAAATATGTTTTTCCTCTCTAAGTTTCCAAGTTATTTCATCTGAGATGAAAAGTAATATAACATTTGTATAGGCTGGGCACAGTGATTCATGCCTGTAATCCCAGCACATTGGGAGAGCAAGGCGGGCAGATAAAGAGGTCAGTCAAGAGATTGAGACTATCCTGGCCAACAGGGTGAAACCCTATCTCTACTAAAAATACAAAAATTAGCTGGGCATGGTGGTGCGTGCCACTAGTTCCAGCTATTCAGGAAGCTGATGCAAGAGAATCGCTTGAACTCAGGAGGCAGACGTTGCAGTGAGACAAGATCTTGCCGCTGCACTCCAGCCTGGTAAAAAAGCCAGACTCTCTCTCAAAAAAAAAGTAACATAATAACAGTGTATAATAAAAATCAGCAATATAAATACATGTATGTAAACCTAATAAAATATATAAACTTATTAAGGGTACTAAGTTATACTTACATTCCCTTTATACTAATAGATATCATTAGTAGAATGTATGTTACATGCCAGGCACCATATCAAGTAATATATATCTATACGAATCCTCTCCAGAACATGCAAAAGCTGTGCTTTTGTTACTTTTACAAAAAACAGCAAACTGATTCTTTCTAAGAATCAGTTGCTAAACTTCACATAGTAAGTGGAGTAGCCAAGATGAAAAGTTTTTTGTTGGTCTCTAAACCCTAGTATAGTATCTCTGTAAAGATACTGTAACTCTTTAAAAAAGCTCACAAATAGTGTTGCTTCCTCCACATCACATATTCAAGGAAACATATAAAATACGTACTTTTATACTTGCTGCACAGCTAGTAATTACAGATGAAGATAAAACTATTTTTGATGTCCACTTTGTCTATATTTTCTTGCAGACTCAATATTAAGTCCATTTTTTTCTACTGTGGAAACAATTTAAGATTACCAATGTATTTCCTATAAATGCACAAATCCACAGAACGCCTACTAATGTAAACATTATCAGCAATGCATTTTGGAGCACAAGTTTGGAATAAAATGATAATGTCAACATAGAGTTTCAACACAAAATTAGAAGCAAGAAGTGAACCAAAACTAAATGCTGAAAGGCAGGAAATCCTTTGGATAGCAATGATATCACCAGTTCAAGCATGGTAATCTAAAAATATATTTTGTTTAAACTGTTAGAATCATTTCTTGGATATGCATAGTGTGTGCAGTGTGTGTGTGTGTGTGTGTGTGTGTGTTTTACATACTGGATAGTCATATAATCTGACTCTATGACACATCACATCTATAAAAAAATGCTGGTTCCTAATGTTTAGGCTTTTAAAATTCAGTTTTATTACTAAAAAATATTTATCACTAGAATGAGCATGAAAGATATAGTAGGTACCACAAATGTAACC